GGAGGGGAGGGGAGGAAAGCTGATTTTTCATGGTGAGAGATAATAATGATGATTAATAATAATAATAATAAAAACTGGAAAATGTAAGCAACATGGACGCTTTGCTTCTCGGTACTCAGAAAGGTTGTTTGAATCCACGTGGTAAGCGCTGGCTTGAAGATGTGTACAGTTTAAAGCCATATTTTGTCTGGTGAGCCCCTTAACTGTTTGTAAAGGAACAGTCAGCCGGTAAGGTGTCCGGCTCAGACCCTGACAACAGACATCACCCATCTGTCAGCCATGTGCAGTGGTTAGAAGTTTTCTTGAAAGCCCAAAGAGCCTTTAAAATGTGTATAATTTGTGTTTTGTTGCTTCTATTTATATTGATTAGATGAAAAGACATTCTGGCCCTTAACCTTCTTTCTTCTACACAAAGCTTCTTTTACAAGATAAAAGATGTTCCCCTAAATACAGAATATGGCTTTAAGAAGAAAATGAAATAGGGACTTAAATTAAGATTTCAGTGTTGGGGGGGGTGGGGAACACAACAAAGCTTCTGGATGACTGGATTGCTAACAAGCCCTGGCCTCACATTGTACTAGGATGCAGCTTAAAAAATTCATCTCTAAATCTACTAACCTTTCACCTTCTTATGAAACCTTTTTGAATAGACACACACTGTACAGTTCAATTGTTAGAGAAACTAACTACTGTAGAGATTGTTATAATTTTTTTTTTTTTTGCAAAAATTCAAGCTGTAAAAACTTTTCAACTTTCACAATATTTAATTAAAGTTACTTCCTGTCTGTGATGGCAGCTCCTAGTTGTGTATTCATTTCTCTATTTCAGATGAGCCAAAGTCCAATGGTAATTTAAAAGGTCTGTGTTTGCAATTACTCAGACCAGTGTTGACATGCAGAGAAAAGGAATTAAGGTAGTACTGAGACACCCACTTTCTTTCTTTGTAGGTCCTTGGGGATTTGTTAACCTGGAATGCAAATTGAATACACACAGCGTACTGCTGCCCTCTGCCGGCAGAAGCCAGAGGCAAATGTGCCCATTCTGGCCAGAGGAACCCAGAGCCCCAACAACTCCACCAGCCCAGTAGCAGGATCCCCCTACAGTGATTGAACTGTATCTAAGTCTAGGAACTGGCAGTTCTAGAACTTCATCCTTTGTGCTACAAGACTGAACCAGGCTCTTCACATAAAGTTGTTAATTAATCCCAGTGAACCTTCTGGTCAATTTATTATGCTCTCTAGCTCATTAATGGCCTAGTGCCTAAGGCCCTTGACTGCTAACCAGAAGGCTGGCAGTTCAAACCCACCAGCCACTTTTCAGAAGGAAGACTGGACAATCTACTTCCATAGTGATACCTCCTCGGAAACCCAAAGAGGGGTCACTTTGAGTTGGATCCAACTCGATGGCAGTGTGTTTGGTTTTGGTTTCTCTGGCTCATTGATGAGGAAGTGTATGTGAACTCAGAACCTTCTATGACCGATATATTTTTAATCCCCTGTGCATAAGAGATTTTCCTCATTGAACAAAACCAAGTTTATCTGGAGTCAAACATGCCACAAACAACCAGTGGGTACACGATCATGTAAAATTGTTCACTTTAAACACTTAAAATCATGTCTTTTCAATTGCACATTCAATGCTTTCCCTACTTTTGCAACTATTGGACATGATAAGGTTAATGAATGATGCTTATAAAATGCCTCAAAACTCAGCAAATAGGCCATAGACCAACAGAAACTTGATGGTCAGGGCTAATAGAGCATCACACACTCACCAGCACAATCATTTGTGATAGGCATTGCTGATGCACATTTGCTTTGGAATAAAGCCATATAAGGCTATAAAACAAACATGGAGCATGTAAGTTAATAAGTAGAGAAGCTGACATTCTTTTCTTAAAAACAGAAGCCAAGTTCATTAATTTTGCTGTTCAATATCAGTTTTTGCATATACTCGTTCATTTTGATGCAGAAAATAACAAAGAAGAGGCCCCTGCCTTCAGGAGGCTCAGAATCAGACAAGACAAAGATCTATCAAACTGGTCTGGAGTGGTTAGACAGTTAGTGAGACCAGGATGCTGTAATGGTCTACAGAACTAAAACTGACATCCACATATTTCACATACTGGCTTCTATTCTCCTTAAGGCCAAATTCCTGGAATTATTTATTCATTTGCTCATTCATTTGTTTGCTCATTCATTCATTCAGAACCTTGAGGGTTTACTATGCAATTGATAGCAGGAGAAGCACCATAAATATTACAGTTAGCATAACAACATAGTCCCCACCCTCAGGAAGTTTATGGTTGAGTAGGGCAAACAGACATGAAGTAGTCACACAAGAATATAATAACAAATCAATAATGACAATGGACAAAAAGTCTACAGTGCTCTAAATGCATATTACAGTGGGGCCTGACTTGACCTGAGGGATTGAGGAAGTCTTCCAAAGAAAATGACATGTGAACTGACATATGAAGGATGAGTAGGAGTTAACCAGATGGGTTGGGCTTCTTAGGCAGATGGAAGGAGGGCAGAGAAAGGACTCAGAGTCTTGGGGTGGATGGGGTGCATTCGAAGAGCAGAAAGACTAAGTGACTAGAGTATGCAGAAGTGGAAGATGAGACTGGAGAGCTTGGGAATTTCAATTCAGAACGCCTATTGAACATGTAGGAACTCTGGTAGCGTAGTGCCCAAGGCGTTTGACTGCTAACCAGAGGGCTGGCAGTTCAAACCCACCAGCCACTCCTCGGAAGGAAGGTTGGGCAATCTACTTCTGTAGTGATATCACCTCAGAAACCCAAGGAGGGGTCGCTATGAGTCGAGTCTTACTCGACAGCACATAATAACAACAATGACAACATTGAACATGTATTATGTGCTTGGTACTAGTCTTGGTTCTCTAGTGCTGCTATAAAACATCACAAGAGGATGGCTTTCACAAAG